TATTATTATTATTATTGTCAGCACATACAGTCATAGTCATTCTGGACCTCCACAGGCACCTACTGTAAATATCTCAATTCCACTAACTCCCATTATATGTATCCTTGGGGATTTATCAAAGGTTAAAGTAGCTATTTAATATAAAAATACTTTATTGACTCTGTATTACTGCTAAAAAAATAATATTGCAAAAATGGGTGGACAGTACAGGACCATCATACAAAGAATGGGTTAAAGAGGCTGTATCACAAGTTAAATTTGAAAAGATTTCATATAATTTACAGGGGAAACGTAATGAGTATAGGAATGTTTGGGGCCCATTAGAGACATACTTGAATGGCACTGGATGTGAAGAATATTAGTGGGAAGTTTCGGAATTATTTTTTTTGTGAATGTAAGTTTTTTTTTTTGTTATTGTCTAAAAAAAAAAAAGTCCTCCAAAGTTGGGGGGGGTAGAGGTGGGTAAAAAAAACAAACAGAACATTTTGAAGCAGCAAACCCACTGAAAGAAATGAAGCACAGTCTCCTGGAAACTCACGTTTTGCCATAAAGGAGCTTGAAATGTAAAACTTTTTGTAGAGGATCACATTCGAAGCCCATTTCTCCAATGAAATATGAGGCAACATGCTCAAAGTCTAAAACCATTAATTTTTCACTACAGTATATTTCATCCAACTGCAGAGGTAGTAAGAAATGCGTGCAGAGAGTTCCCAAAAGAAGAATCTGTCCGCTGTGCATTAACCTTTCACGGCTTTCCTCTGAAACGTGCTTGGAAATGGCCCAAAAAAATACTCTATCTGCTGCACATTAAGCCTTTTACAAATTTTCATTTCCAAGCAACCTTATCTACTGTTGAAGTATAAAATGTTTTCATTTTGTGTAAAACAAATGCAAATTTTTAGCCCTGCTCCAACATTTCACTAGAAGATATTCAGTCTGTCATTGAGAACTAAACTTAATGCCAATAGTATATTGAGATGCAAATTAATGTATCACCATCAGCCTCTAATTATTCATGCATAATACATTTGTACCGGGTGAAGTGGAGATGTCTTATAGTTCAGCCACTGCAGGTTCAAGTCAGACGTACTGTATGCTGTCAGTTTATGGTCACTTGGATTACAGGCAGTGGTGCACAATTGATTAAGAGCTGCCTTAGCTGGGTGTTACACTGAAACTCCTGTCAAATGTAGTGTAGCCAGTCAGCATTCAAACCAATTCATTCATCCTTGTTATACAATGTACGAGTACTATACACACACGAGTGAAGGGCTCTCACAAGCACAGATTACAGAGGAAGGGATTTTCAGTCCTCAATGGTGTTGTTATGAGGCCTGCAGCAGTGAGCTAAATTGATTAGAGGTAGAAGTATATTAAACTTGCAATTCCAAACATAGACTAGAAACCAAAAATATTGCTAATTCATTGCTAATTAGACCAAGTCTCCCCAGCTTCCTCCTCTCTTCTTCATCCAAACCACTTCCATGGTGTATTACCGACAATGACTGTGCGCTGAACCCTCTGAGTCCTGCAATCCTAGGGTCTCTCTGCCTGGCACCACACCTATGTACATAATTCTAAAGCCTAATCAAATTCTGAGAAGTTCTTTCATCTTTAATCCTATCACACTTTGCAGCAATGCAAGCCCTGCTCTCTCTGATTACAGCCTCGTCTAGTTGAAGAGTGCATAACAGGTCAGCACCTTTCAATTAGCAGAACATAAGTGGAAAAAAGATACTGCCAAGCAAAGTAATTGCCACTATTTAGGAAGCCAGTGCACCTTACTTATACCTGCTCTAATGAACCCCTACCCTCTTCTGATTATTGTCACAATCGAACTTCATTTGTGAATCTGCAGAATTAAGTTCTAGGTCACTTCCTTCGCCCTGTTGCACTTGTTTTCTCAGAAGTTACTGAAGCATTTCAAATCTCAAGGCAGGGACCGCAGCTAATAAGGAGGCTATGTGGACTTTCTTTTTTTTCCACCTGGTCAATTGCCAAATGCAATATCCTAACTCATCTGTGACTCTTTCTGAAGAGAGCCCCAGTAAGGTCACAAGAGGAAACATTATGTTTCATTGTACTGACAACCAATATAACGCACTTTCACAGAAGGCTGACTTTGAATTAACTGAAAACAGAGAAGGAGGAAACTATTAACCATTGCTGCTGATTTGAATTTCAAATTTAACGTATGAATGAATAAAGCCTGACAACTCTTAGACTATAAATTGATACCATATGGAATCTGAATTCCAAAGGAAAAAAAAATAAAACCTTGCTTTGTGTTCTACATCACACATTCCATCCTGTCAAGGTATGTTTTTCTTTCAATCAAATATTACTCCCAAGAAGAAGGAACGCTCCAGATATACCCAAAAGAGTCAAATTAGGCTCTAAGGTTTTATTAGAATCATACAGGCATTGGTATTTCCTCTGAATTCTGTTTTTGACATGCAGTCAACCATAACTTAAATGCTGACTGCTTCGCTATTAAGTAACTTTCAGTTAAACAGTTCACCTTAGTCACAAGAGAGCACATACATATCTTAGAAAAGAGACAAATAACAGAGTACTAGTGAGTTTCAGAAGGAAACAAATGGAGTTCAAGAAGGATTACAGTTGGGACTCTTCCTCTTATTTTTTCCATTATTAATGACTTTGGCAGGCAGCTCTAGTAAAGCATCTAAATTTGAGGATGACACAAAGCTACACGGAAAATGAAAAATAAATCCCAAGTGTTTTAATTCCATTGGCTTGTTTTTGTTTTCAATTACACAGATTCTAGAAACAAAATATAAAATACACTGTTTCAGTTCTTCAAACCTGAACAACAATGTTAGAAATTAACAGTACTACAGTTAAGCGACTTAATGTTCAATTCAAATCTTTATTTTCTTCAGCTGGTAAGCACATCAATAAGTGTGTGTTTTATATACTCATAATGAATCTTTTTGAATTGACAGACTTGTTTATTTTAATTCTGTTGCATGTATTAGCATAACACAGAATAAATATTTAAGTTTTTTAAATGTATTAATAAATTACATGACATTTTTTAAATGTCTCTAGATATCTGGGGACAACAAGCTGTGGTTGGTTTGTATTAGACCTCTTTAGAGTTCTATAAGTGCATTCAAATCATCTTAATACTATACAACACAATCTACACAAAATACTAAATTATGCTAAACAAAAGGTACTTTTAATGGTGTCATACAGTCTTTAGAAGGAAAAAATCATTTAAATAAATTATTGTAATAGGCTAAAGATGTGTCTTTATGGTAGCAGGATCTTAAAATAATATTTGAGACTTAGACAGAACAAAAAAAGTTGGATATTCTACAAAACAGTTGCATAAAACTGTACAGTGTGATGTTTATAATACCTATAAACACAGAAAGCCTCAATGTAAATCTGCTTCTGTATTTAAAATCATGAAAAATTTCTAAAGACAATGGATTTAGTTCTTCAGTCAGCTGTTTCATAGCTGTGAATTGCGAGATCATATTCCAAAGACTTACCCTAACATTTTTTAAAACATTCTTTCAAATTTTCTCTTCCTTTTACTGTGGCCTTATGCTATCACATGCCTCGGTACATCTGGTGATGATTAAACTTCCTCTTCTAACCACAAGTTGGCCACAGACTAGAGTTCTTTAGGAATTACCTGAAATGCCAAATGATCTTGAACAAAAGTAAAATTAAAATGAACTCAAGCTACTTTATTTGCCTTCATCATTGATATAACTGAGCTCTTAAATACTGATATCCTGTGAAGTTTTGTATGTCAATATTAATAACAAATCCTGATGCATCTTCACTATAATAATGTGACATTTTAGTGCTTTCTTAATATAGAATGTATTTTAATAAATACATGTTAAAAGGCTTTATTTTCTTCTATATGCAACAAAAAAAGAGAAATGACACATGAACAAATGTCCTTGTTTCTAAATGCAGTTTGCTGCATAACAGCTGCAGTAAAGTACTTGATGCCACACTCA